GTTGCAATGATGGATAACCTTCCCCTATTGCCTGTCTCAGCTAACTGGCACTCAAGATTTTCTTTTAGTTGCCACTGAAACAACTTTGACACAGACCTATATATCAGTATTTCTAAAAACCTTTCAAGGTGGCTGTGGAGGTAAATTCTGCAAGTTCATCTTGATTCATCCATTCATTCTATAGCAATTTAAAATAAACTAAGGGCTTTAGAAAAAGACACAGCCCCTTAGGCAGCTGGCACTAAACAAAGTTGTTGTTGCTGTTGTTGTGTGCTTTCAAGTCATTTCTGACTAATTATTATTATTATTATTATTATTATTATTATTATTTCCCGCCTCTCACTGCGGATCGAGGTGGGAGCACAAAGATAAAAAAAAGAAAAATACAGCAAGGCTAAAACATAACAATAAAACTACAGCAAAATAAAAGTGATAAAAACAGTAAAAACAACAGTGATAATTAATATCATTGAATTATTAAATTACAATAAAAATTACAAAATTACAAATTACAAATGCAAGTCTATGCCATGGGTGGTGATGATCTTCCTTATGGCAACCCTAAGGCAATCCTATCACAGGCTTTTCTGAGGCTGAGAATGTGTGACTTACTCATGTTCACCCAGTGGGCTTCCATGGCCAAGCCATGGGTTCGAACCCTGTTCACCACAGTCATAATGCTGTAACCCGCCCCGATTGCCGCGCAGAGGGGCGGGCTATAAATAAAATTTATTATTATTATTATTATTATTATTATTATTATTATTATTATTATTATTATTATCCAACATTCAAACCACTACACACACAGTCTATCAGCATGGGAAACTGATAGACTGTTCTTCCCCTACCATCACCGCCCTGCAGTTTAGAAAACATCAAGGAAGAAAAGAAAGAATTTCACAAAAAAGAAATGAGAAGATTTCAATGAAGAAGGGGAAAAAAGCAAGCAGCAAGCGTGTGTGTGGGGAGGGAATCTGATTTAAAGGAGAAGTGAAGGTACAATGAAAAAAAAACCCAAAGATCCATCCTCTGTTGCATTAAACACACACGCACACATACACATGATTGTTGTTTTTGTTGTTAATTGTCATCAATTTGACTTTGACTTACAGTGGTCCTATAAATGAGAGAAATACAGATTCCCTTGTCATCAACAGCCCTGCAAATTCAGAGCCGTGGCTTCCTCGGCTGTGTCTCTCCATCTGAAATGCAGTTTTCCTCTTTTATAATCTTTTCCAGTGACTCACACCTTTTCATGATATGGCCAAAGTATGATAGCCTCACTTTCGTCATCTTGGCTTCTAGGGAAAGTTTAGGCTTGGTTTGCTCTTGGACTGATTTATTGGTCTTTTTGGTAGTCCATGTCATCTGTAGAACTTATGAATCGATCTTCATAATCGTTTTTCTTACTTTCTTCTGTATCACAGTGTGGGAGATTCCAGATGCAACTGCGCTATACATTTGTATGATGGTTATGATTATTCTTTTGTTTTCAGCTGCTTTCTTCATAATTACTATCAATGAATTTGCTTTCATCCCCCTGCATTGGCATTCTGGTGTATTTTTCAGTGGGCTTCCTACCAAAATTCCAAGATCTCATTTTTTATTGTTGCATCATGTTCAAACTCCATTAGTGCATATGCAGCATTCAGCCTTCTTCTTCTTCTCCTTCTTCCTACTACTACCACTACTTCTTGTTGTGTGCCTTCAAGTAATTTCCAACTCAAAGCGAACCCAAGGCAAACCCTATCATGGGGTTTTCTTGGTTAGATTTGTTCAGAGGATGTTTGCCATTGCCTTCCTCTGAGGCTGAGAGAGTATGACTTGCCCAAGATCACCCAGTGGGTTTTCATGGTTGAGCGGGGAATCGAATCCTGGTCTTCAGAGTCAAAGTCCAACATTCAAACCACTATGCCATGGTGGACCTCATTACTACTACTACTACAACTACTACTACTTCAATATATATGTCTTGGCAGTTTCTTACATTAAATCAGACTTGCCATTTTGTTGCCTACTCTTCCCATTTGGAAAGAGTCTCTTTTGGAGTTCTTTACTCAAATAATGCTGGCCACAGAATTGGCTGCCCAAGATCTAACAACTGATAGAGCAGGATAACAAGAAAAGGTGGAGTAGAATAAGAAAGCAACATATTAAGAGAACCTGCTTTGAAGTTACCAGATTTTTTTAAAAATTCAGAAGAGACAATCTGGAGTACATTTGCTCTACAGAGTTAGCGCAGTTTTATGCCATTTTAAATGCCGCAACCTCATCCAAAGAAACCCCGGGGTTTATAGTTTGGTGAGCTCCTTTGAATTCCCTGTGACAGAACTTCAGTCCACTTTTCTGAACTACAAAATCCACAATTTCTTAGGATGAAGTCATGACAGTTAAAAATTTCATGAAACCAAGCTAAATGTGTCATTCAGATCCATTTCTGAAGATTCTTATATGCCTTATATTGATCGGGAGATAAATGTAAATGTGTATTTGTAAACTTGCAAATGTGGGACGTCATTATTATTCTATTGGCCTGAATTTATCTCACAAAATCAATCAATCAAAATCTTTCAAATGAAAAGATGAGCCTTTAAGCTGTTCTTGTTCCAGTCTGTCTGCTCTCTACTGGAAATGACTTTGAGGGCTCTATTTAAGGTGGCATCTGCACTGCAGGATTAATTGAGCTTGACACCGCTTTAATTGCCATGGCTCCATGCTCTGGAATCCTGGGATTTGTAGTTTGTTGTGGCACCAGAGCTCTCTGACAGAGGAGGAGAAATAGCTCACAAAATTATAAATCCTGGGATTCCATAGCATTGATCCACGACAGTTAAAGTGTTGTCAAATTGCATTAATTCTGCAGTGCAGATGCAGCCTGAGATAGTGGTGGACCTGGCTAAGCTAACATGGGAATGTCTGGGGAACCGAATTGCTCTGCAGCCCAGTCAGGATTGCCCCAATTATCTTCACTCAGCAATCAGCCTCTGCAGAAAAACCAAGCTGCAAACATAATTCAGGTATTGGAAGCAACACTGGATCTCACCTGCTCTTGAGAATTGGCCTTGATTCCTTGATACCTAGAAACAGATTCCAAGGTGTCCTCCTCTCTGATTTGTTTCCCTGATTTCTGACTGGCCTTCCCAGCTTCTTGACCATGGACTGTTAATAATCTATGCTAGCTGTGGCTTATCTCTCCACACAGTAATTTACGACAGCAGCCGAGGGATGGTGACAGTGCCATGACTACTGGTGTTCAAAGCAATGGAGAGCTGGACACAGAAAGATCAGAACTGCATAGCCAGGATGAAGTCTCTCTTAGGATGCCAGGGAAAGGAGATTCCACTGGTATTTTTTGTTCTCATTGTATGTCAAGTTTCAAGTCGGCCCTGTGGATGAGACATCTCCAAGACCCCTTGTCCTCCACTGCTCTGCTTAGGTTTTGTAGATTCAGGCCCATGACCTCCCTGGTTGAGTCTAGCCATCTAATGTGTGGTCTTCCTCTCTTTCTGCTGCCTTCCATCTTTCCCAGCATTATTGTCTTTTCCAGTGATTCATGCCTTCTCATGATGTGGCCAACGTATGACAGCCTCAGTTTAATCATCTTGTCTTCCAAGGAGATTTGTGGCTTGATCTGTTCCAGGACCTACTTGTTTGTCCTTTTGGCTGTCCATGGGATGCTCACCACTCTTCTCCAGAACCACATTCTCTCAAATGAATTGATTTTCTTCCTATCTTCTTTCTTAACTGTCCAGCTCTCACATTCATACATGGTAAGAGGGAATACGATGGCTTGTATGGTTCTAATTTTTGTGCTGAGTTGTATGTCTTTGCATTTTAGGATCTTTTCTAGTTCTTCTGGCTTGATCTGTCCCAGGACCCATTTGTTTGTCTTTTTGACTGTCCATGGTATCCTCAGCACTCTTCTCCAGCATGACATCAATGTTTGATCTTATTTTGATTTCTTCATTGTCTAGTTTGAATTTATGTATTTCTTCCATGGTCATTATTTTTTGTTTGCTTTTATGTCAAGGCAAACTGGTAGAACCATTTCTTTTTTATTGGTTTTGAACACAGTGAACTAACCCTGCCAATTATTTGACATGTGCCCAGACTCTAGTTCAATATACCTTAGAAAATTTTGGACTAGAGGGATCTGGACCAGGGATGAGCTGCTGATAACACTGATTCGATCTGAATGAATCCCCTGAAAAAGTCAAGTTCACCTTTACAGCCTAGGGCTGGAGCGGGAATCATGCAGCCCCCTGGATGTTATTGAACTGCAAATCCCAGTAGTCTCTCACCAGTGTAGACAATGGTAAGGGACTCTGGGGGTTGCAGTGGAAGAACATCTGAAGAACCACAGGACTCGTAATGCTGACCTATGATCTCAAGCTGTGTATGGAAATAGCCCTCCTATGGGGGGCTGTATCTGGAATGGGATCACCAACTCATGCAGAGAAGAGGCTAAGGCTCCTTACCTGTCTCACTTTCTCACCTCACTTGTCAGCGAAATGGGTAGAAAGCTCCTAGAAAAGGAGGATGCTTATTCCTCCATATGCAGTTGGGGAGGGGTCTCCTTTCCTCCCCAAATAATTCAGGGAGTTGAGATGCAGTCATTGTTTTGACCTAGTTATATTCCCCTGTTAAAGTTATTCTGTACTCAGTACTGTATAAAGTTATTCTGTGCTCAGCCATCAATCAAAGTGGAGACTGTAGCCATGAAATCAGAAGAAGACTAAGGTCTGGAAGGGCATCCGTGAAAGAACTTGATAAAATCCTTAAGTGTAAAGGCATTATCATTATATACCAAAGCCGTAAATATCAAAGTCATACATCATCCATGCTGAGTATTTCCAGTATCTGTGCACAGATGTGGAAGCTGGATAGCAAAGTGAGGTGACAGGAAGAAAATCAGCTCATTTGAAATGAGAAAAGTTCCGCAGATAGCACTGACTGCCAAAAGGACTTAATAAATGGCTCCTAGAGCAGATCAGACAGCCTGTGTAGTGCAGTCGTTTGAACACTGGACTACTACTCTGGAGACCAAAGTTCAAATCCTGGCACAGCCATGGAAACCCAGTGACCTTGGGCAAGTCACACTCTCTCCGCTTCAGAGCTCCAAGTTTGCAAGACCTCGGCAGGGCTGTTAAGAATAGGGACTCATGGTGGCCTCTCTTTGCTTTGCTTTTTTTCGTAGGATCTCCATAATTCAAAGTTGACTTGATGGCAAATAACAACAACTGTTTCCTTAGTGTAAGGACCTGGAAGTTGAAGCTGGGAATGTTTCGCTCTGATCCTCTTCTAAGACCAATGTCACCAGTGACATATCTTTGTACACATAGCTGCAGGCTCCATATGCACACAACTACATGAAGAAACAGTTGCTGTTGTTGTTGTGTGCCTGCAAGTCGTTTCTGACTTATGGTGACCCGAAGGCAAACCTATCATGGGGTTTTCTTGGCAAGTTTTATTCAGACGGGGTTTGCCATTGCCATCCTCTGATGCTGAGAGACTGTGACTTGCCTGGGGTCACCCAGTGGGTGTTATGGCCGAGTGGGGATTTGAACCCTGTATTCAAGAGTCATAGTCTGACACTCAAACCTCTACATCACACTAGCACATACTGCTTTCTTTTCTCCAGAAGAGATACCTCCCCTCCACAAAGGATTTAGAATAAATTTAGGAGTATGTTAGGGAGGAATTTAAAGGTTTTAGCAATATTTCTCCATCCTGTTAAAGTGGTTGCATAATGAAGTTATCCTGAAAGAGAAAATATTATGGGCAAGAATCCCACCCAGCCACCCAATCATCCCCCCCACGGGGTAATCTTGAAACTCTGATTAAGTACAGTGAGCTGATTGCAATCTTTTTTATCTTTTGGGAAATCAGACCGTTATGCTGTGACTTTGCTAGAGGTCGCTGCGCAACACGCTCTTGGACGTGCACCATGTTCACGCTAAAGAACGCCTGAGCAAACAACGTGCTGGATATCCACCGACAAATCTAGTAATGTCTCAGAAAGCCCCCCAAGTCCATCTGAAACTGTGGATGCAAAGCAGCAGAGCATCTGGGATTAAATTAGTTAGCCTGGAATTGCATCCTTGTCAGCTGGGAAGCCAGGTGTGAGAGAAGTGATAAGAATGCATCCCAAAGGAGGAAAAGAAACTACTCTTTCCTGGGCAGAGCTGAAGAAGGTGATTTGCAAACTGAATGGGTGGCACAGCGAACCACAGTACAGAAGGGAGAGACGCTGTTTGGGGAGAGAAAGAGGCCACAGTGGCTGGTGGCTTCCATGTCAGTGGGATGGTGAATCCATTCCAGTTTTTAAACTGAGCTTTAAAGGATCTATCTATCCACAGTGCTGAACTCTGACTCCCATAATAGGCTCAAAGATCCAGGATCTAAAGCAGATTCACTGACAACAGAACCACCAACTACCACTGGAAAGGAGGATGCTTCTTTCTAGCCAATGATATCTGCCTGTCTTTGTGTCCACCTTCTGGAACTTTTTTTAAAAATCAGCTGTCACTACTAATAAAAGTAAAAAAAGTTAAAAAAAAGTACGGTATGTACTAGTAGTAAAAGACCACTGATTTAATCCAACATGACTGTTATTTTTGAAAATGAAAAACAAGATTCCTGTCTATTGAACCAACAACCATGTAAAGATGAAACAGGTGCATTTTCATTTTGTTCAACTTAAAATATGGAAACTACCACTGCAACAGCCCTGTTTTAATTCTTGGGATTGTTACCCCATGACTAGCCCTCCTTCACCCCAGTTGATCTTTTATATCAACTTAATGTTAAAAGGGATGTGTTAAGCAGTGCTGGGGAAAAACAATAATAGTAAAAGGTTAAACCCCACCAACATAGCTGTTCTGATCCTTATCTGTGCATATCATGGCTGATTTTGGGGGGTGGGGAGAAATACTGCCTATACGCGGTGCCGGCGGCGCTCCGGAGCTCTTGGAGGACTCAGGCCCCTGAAGGACTCTCTTGCCCCTTGCCATCATCTGGGGCGGCCAGGAGCAGCTGTGGACGGCGCGGAACTGGGGAGAACGCCGGCGGGTTTAAAAATTATTGTTTAATTTTTTATTGTTTAATTGTTTAATTATTGTTATTTAATCTGTTTAGTTTGATTTGTTTTTGGGGGATGGGTGGGTGTGGGAAGGAGGGATGTGATTTGAATTGATTTTATTTGTTCTCATGTTTTGAAATGTTGTACGCCGCCCCAATTGCCTGGCAAAGGGGCGGGATATAAATAAAAATTATTATTATTATTATTATTATTATTATTATTATTATTATTATTATTATTATATTATTTCCAAACTGTGGAAATGAAATTATGCATCTCTCATCTCATCTGCACTGGTTCATGCAACCAATTTAAGGCAATACTAAAGGATTTATTTGGCATCTATCTAGTCACACTAAATTTGCAGCCAGGGCTATATGCCCGTTTTGCAAACTGCTAAATTTATGAAGCTTCTCAATTTTGAAAACACAAATATAACTTTATAAAAAAAAGATCTATTGGGAATGATAAAACAATTGGACACATGAAAGAAGGGGAAAGTATTCAATAACTAGACAGATACGCAATTCAGATTTTTAAAAAAATACTTAATGTGGTAGAGGGAAAGCAAGGCAATTAAATTGGATCCAGATTTAGTCATATGTACAACAGGCAATTATAAATGGAGAGAGAAATCTCAGAGGTGCAAGTGGGTTCAGGAAACGGAGAGTCACCAGGGACCATATTGCAAACATATGATGGCTAATGGAGCGCACAAATGAATTCCAAAAGAAAATCAGCAGGTGATTTATAGACTACATCAAAGTCTTTGTACAGATTACAAAAAAATATAGAATGCTTTTAAAGACATGGGAGTGCCACCACATCTGATATTCCTAATTAGAAATCTGTACTTAGAACAAGAGGCAACTGTGAGAGCAGAATATGGAGAAACAGAATGGTTCCCAATCGGCAAAAGAGTCAGGCGAGACAGTGTATTATCACCATACTTATCCAACTTGTATGCAGAAAATATTATACAAAGAGCAAGTTTAGATTTAGGAGGAGGAGTAAAGATAGGAGGAAGGAACATTGACAATCTAAGATACGCAGATGACTACTAGTGGAAAACATCATGATCTTGGAGCTATTACAAAAGAAGAACAAGGAAGAAAATGTAAAGGCATATGTTTCTGAACATAAAGGCGGGGGGGGGGGAGGCCATGGCAGATCTACATCAATTCAACTAGACAATTAGGAAATCAAAATAGTTAATGATTTCCTGTACTTTGGATCAAACATTAATGAGGACGGAGACTGTGGTCAAGAAATAAGACTAGGAATGGAAAGGGCAGCAATGAAAGCACTAAACAAGATCCTACTGAGTAAAGATATACAACTGAGCACTAAAGTTAGAATCGTTCAATCCACTGTATTCCCCATCATCATGTATAGATGTGAGAGCTGTACAGTGAAGAAAGCAGATAAAAAGAAAATCAACTTATTTGAGATGTGGTGCTGGAGAAGAGTGCTGAGGATACCAAGGACACCCAAAAAGACAAACCAATGGGTCCTTGAACAGATCAAGCCGCAACTCTCCCTGGAAGCCAAGAGATCAAATTGAGGCTGTCCTGTTTTGGTCACATCATGAGAAAGGCACGAATCATTGGAAAAGACAATAATGCTAGGAAAGTTAGAAGACAGGAGAAAGAGAGGAAGACCACATGCCAGAAATAGGGAAGAAGGCATTATTTCAAGTGTCCAGGATCCCGACCACAAAGGCTTTAAAGATAAACACCAGCACTTGAATCTTTCACACTATTCAACTGCAACCAAGACTCCACCTTATGGAATCCTGGGATTTGTAGTTTGGTGAGGTGTTTAGTAGTCTCTGTTACGAGTACCTCACCAGACTACAAATCCCAAAATTCCATAAGATGGGCCATGGCAGATGAAGTGTCAGTTGTACAGTTGAAAAGAGACATTAAAAATGCTATGGGTGTTATGCTGAAATAGGTCTTGCTGATCCTGTATGCACATAACTGGTTTGTTCTTGCTTAAATAAATAAATAAATAAATAAATCTGGCCCCATCTTGCCAAGACCCATGTAATTCTCACTGAGACCACCCCTTGAGCTTTAGGTTTGTTCCATTTCCAGGGAGAGCCTTTCTTCAATAGAAAATGAAGGCAAACAAGGTTCCTTTTTGTTCAGGAACAGTAAAGTGCTTTGAAATTGCAGAGTAACTGAATGCAAAAAGAGGAAATTGGAACAGCACATTCTTGATACAAGGGTACACTCACTGGAAATTGCATTCATTGTAAACAGATGTGTCTAATGCTTCTCTTAATAAACATCCTTAGGAATTCTTCCAGCACTTAGCCAGCAGTGTGCAGAGTGAAATACAGATGCTTTTCAGGACAAAAATCATACTTCTTTTCAAGGGGAAATATATGTGTATATGTTACATGCTGTCAAGTCAGCTTCAGGTTATGGTGAATGAGAGACTTTAGATTTTTAGATCTAAGATCCAGCAAATTCAGGGCTATGGGTTCCTTGCTTGCATCTATCCACTTCAATCCACTCTTCCTCTCCTATTGCCTTCTACCTTACCAAGCATTATTGTCTTTTCCAGTAAGTCACAGTGTCTCATGATATGTCCGAAGTATGACAGCCTCAGTTTAGTCATCATTGCTTTCTAGAGAGAATTCAGGCTTGATTTGCTCTAGGATTCATTCATTTGTCTTTTTGACAGTCCACTGCATCTTCAGAACTCTCTCCAGCCCCGCATTTCAAATGAGTTGACTCTCTCCCTGTCAGCTTTCTTCTCTTTCTTGCTGTCACACTCATACTTAGAAATCAGAAATACAATGGTATATCATAACATAAAAGTCACCTTGAAATCTTTGATACAGTGCTACGTATAAATATTTTAAATAAATAAATATGCAGATGGCAAAATATATTTCATCTCCACGCCTTCCTCCCATTGGCCACATTCGCACATTTGGGTGGCACTTCTGGTTGCCATTCTAGCTCTTTCAATGGG